GAGTGCGTCATCCAAAGTGACACGGCGACTGAGCCACAAGCCTGGGACTGAAAACCACTTGAAAATTCTACACTCCTACACCTCGCAGCCACCCTACTCTGACTCATCACATCACCTCCTGCTGAGCTTTCTAAATGTTTCTAAGCATTCTACAAGACAAAAGTGATCTAAGATAGCACTCCACTCCTCTACTTAAAATCTGTCAATGACGGTCCACTGCCCTTAGGAGAAAGCCCCACCGGGCCTGAGCACAGCCCAACGGCCCGGCATCCTCATTCCCTGCGCGGCCGCGCCGCCTCACCCACCACGCAGCTCTAAATGTGCCGTGTCCAGGACAGGGATGCTGACTCCGTACAACCCGGGGCTCATCTCATTCGAACAATGATCACCTTCTTCAGTGTTCACCCTCTTCACTGCTGACGCTCAGAAAAATGTTTTCTCAGGATGAATCAATATCTTTTTCCTTATAACTTCCCGTCATTGATAATGAGATCCACCCAAAAGAGAAGACCTAATTCTCAGTCTCCTTATCTGTAAAGTGAGAATAACAAGGAAATATGTGAGGTTTTAAGTGAAATAATATTCATGTGAGGCTGAGGGACAATTCCCAACATACAGTAAGCACTCAATATGTGCTTACTTAATATTAATAAGAATATATTGCACTCCAGCAACCTTAACTCAATGTTTTACGGCTTTTTCCAACAGACTACAGACAAACTGTTGGACGAACCCCTTTGAGCAGATCAGCACAAGCGTACTGGAAGAGGTAAGCGCGGACTCCAGTTACAGCTGCTGACACCCAGCACTACGGGGCGGGGGCAGTTTGCTGAAACTCTTACATGTTGCTTGAGCATTTAGCTGTCATTAATGAATAAAGACAGGTGTTCTTTAGTCAAAGCTCCTGAAACAAATCTTTAAAGATTGGTGCAAATTAGATTTCAAGTACAGCACTCTCACTAGAAATTATTTGAAAATTATAGTCAGCTCCCGCGCACATCTAAAGGGTATTTTCTTAATGTATCTGACTAAATACACCGAAAGGATTGTTTAAAAGAAATTAAGATGAAGCCATCCTGAATGACCTCTCAGTATCATTTGCACAAAGCCCCACCCAAGGGTCTCATTTGTCACTTCCACATAAGTGTTCAGGTAGCTTAACCTGGGTCTTGGTTTCTTATAACACAGGGGTGGGAAGAGTTGTGGATAGATTTATTTAGCAAATATATACCTAGTTTATTTGCTGTGTAGGAATCCTAGAAATAAACAATTTGATATATAGTCCCATCCTCAAGAAGCTCAGCCTTTCCACTTACAACAGCATTAAAAATAAAATGAGAGATACATTTAACAAAAATTTATAATATTTGTACATTGAATATTTTGAAGTATCACCGAAATAAAATTTAAAAGATCTACATATATGGAATACATCCCATGTTCATGGAATGGTAGACAATATTGTTAAAAATGTTAAGACTCCCCAAAGTGATTTACAAATTCAGTGGAATCCCTATCAAAATTCCAGCTGACTTCTTTGAAAAAATTGAAAAACTTATCCCAAAATTTATATGGTAGTGCAAGGGGCTCATGTCAGCCAAAACAATCTTGAAAAAGCAGAGTAAATTTGGAGGACTCACTTTAAAGTATACTAAAAAGCTATAGTACTAAGTCAGTATGCTACTGGCATAAGTTTGAATAAATAAATCTATGAGACACAATAAAAACCCAGGGGGAAAAAACTTACATTTACATTCAGTTTTCCACAAGGGTGTCAAAAACCCTCCATTGAAAGAATAGTCTATTCAACAAATGGTGCAGGGACAGCTGGGTATCTGCAGACAAAAGAATGAATCTGAAATCTGGACCCCCATATTTTATATAACATATAAAAATTAATTCAAAATGGATCACAGACAGAAACATAAAAACCAAACGTATAAACTTTCGGAAAGAAGACACAGTATAAATGTTTGTGGTCCTAGGATATGCTTTGGTTTCCTAGATACAATACGAAGAGCACAAGTGATAGAAGAAAAAAGCAGATAAACTGGACTTCATCAAAATTAAAACCTTTTTGTTACAAAGGACATCATCAAGAAAGTGAAATGACAGGGGAAGGGGTTATCTCAAGTGATAGAGTGTGTGCTTAGGAAGAAAAATAAAATAAATCAATACATCTAATTACCTCCCCTGTAAAGAAATTATTTTAATGTTT